AATAATAATAATAATAATAATAATAATAATAATAATAATAATAATAATAATTTCTGACAGGCAATTTGGGGGCACTATCATGTCTATTGTTGTACCTAAGTAAAAGCATCGCAAACTACTATAAACAGACTTTCACAAGCAATTGTAGACGGTGAGATTTAGGCTCAGTGATAAAGAATGATTTAATAGGAGATGTTTCTTTACATTTCCAGGCTTTTCCCTCCTAAATGAACTGCAAAATCATTCGACTTGGTCTAAAGCACAAGTCCGTTCCAGACACAGAAACACAGGACTTAAGCTGAGAAAATGAAACAGGAAATATTCCCAGAACCCCTCTGCCTTCAGCCGTATTGAAACGGAGGCTCATACAGAGTGGGAGCATATTTCAGCTGACAGTTTCAGCTCTGCATACGGGTACAGGAAGGTAAAGCCACCAGTCAAAAGGTAGATGAAATCATGATACTATTTTTTCTGTCACGACGGGCCAGTCACTACGAGTGAGTGACGACATGCTTTTTAAACATGAAAAGAAAAAAACACTTTTAAAATATTAACAAATATTCAAGATTTCACTTCATAGCCCGTGAAGCAGAAATGTTCACATTCCACCCAGAAACAAACTTTTCATTAGGATGCTGAAAGCTTCAATGAAGGAGGAAAACAGTGCCACTATCTTCCAAGCACATATGCCTTGTGATGACAACTATACTTTCTTTTTTGCTATACAATTTAAGGAGGAAAAACAAAACAAAACAAAACACGTGAAAATGGCTTCCAATCTAAAAATTACAATTTGAACAATCTAACTTTCTTTGGATTTCTTCATTAAAAAATAAAAAATAAATGTATTCAAGTGTTTCAAGGAAGCCTGCCATATGGGTAAAACAAACATGAAGCTCAAAATAGGTGAAAATGGAAAATTGTTATGACTTAGCTGTCACTGCTTTTATAGATTCTGTCCCATCAGTGTACAAAACCCAACATCTAGAATGAAACCAAAAGCACTGGCAGAATTGTCGTAACTCGGAAGTCACTGGACTGTTCCCTCCTGGAAACGAGTCATGCCGTTAGAAACCTATAATCCTATCTCACCTGCTCCTGTGATTTTGGGGAGGCAGACATCTAGGTAGGTCCCCAGTGGGTCACTTTCAAAGGATGTCACTCTATAGCAATCGCAGGAGGAGCCCTGCGGTGGCTCCCTGGAGACAAACATTTAACAAAGCGGTTTCTCATAGTTGGCACTGATCTCACACCAGGAGTGAGGGATCATTAAAAACTGAGTGAGTAGAAACTTGAAGTAAGTGGGAACAATAAATCTTGTTCTAAAATGTGTGTGTGTGCATCTGTATGTACATGAAAATACTCATGCTTTGTTTTGTAAGAAATCAACACGGATTAACACTGTATA